CAGGTCCGTCTCTGTGACCCTGGTCCATCAGGTCCGTCTCTGTGACCCAGATCCATCAGGTCCGTCTCTGTGACCCAGGTCCATCAGGTCCGTCTCTGTGACCCAGGTCCGTCTCTGTGTCTCTGGTCCATTAGGTCTGGACATGAAAGTTTTATTTGGACTGGGTCAGGATCTATCTCGGGGGGGGGGGGGGGTTCACCTCCATGTTGAGCAGTTCTCCTGGAGTCCACGGCTCATCGTCCTGGCAACAACAGGTATTTACCTGGATCCACCTCCAAGTAAAGTTACCCGTGTGCAGAAGTTCTGATCCAGTCCTAGACTGTGTCCTTCGAGCAGCCGGACCTTCTCTGAAGAATTAAAGTGTCTGATCAACACAGCAGCTCATTGCAGACCCAGTTTGACCATCAGAACCAGAATCGTCTTAAAGACGGAACATTATCAACAAGTTTTGGACTTTTATGTCAGTTTTGCTCATTTTGGTCCAATTGAGACATTTTTAGGAACCGAACTCCGTTCTGGTTTCCTGCAGAACCCCGTACTTCTCGGTCCAAATGTTGAAGAAAGGCCCATGGAGCTGTTTTCTTCAGGTTTCCTGTTGTTGGACCTTTTTAAACAAACAGAACCAGTTCTGCCTCCAGGAGAAGTTCAGACAGTGGGGAACGTTTGAGGAACCTGCTCATGTTGTTGTTCTGGTGTTGACGGGTTCAGAGTTCTGAGGCGTTCCTGTGGTTCAGGCCCGGTCCATTTCCAGCTCTATGAATAAATAAACAGCCGTCACGCTCGCTGCGCTCTGATTGGACGGCCTGCAGTGAGCTGTGAAAGGCCTCGGCTGTCACATCATCTAATTAAAACCAGAGCTCAGGACAGGCCTGCAGCACGCAGGGGGAACGGGTCAGCTGGTTCTGAAGATCCGTTCAGGTCCTTTTCATCACAAACATCCAACCAGAACCAGACCTCAAAGTTCTGCTCATGTCTCATTTAGAGGAAAATTAAATGAACAAAGTCTCTGGTCTGGTTGGACCAGAACCACCATCAGATACCTTTCGGGCTTTTCAGAAACGTTCTGAACACTGTGGCTCCAGAACTAGAGCAACGGTTAAAATCTGAGGTTTAAAGGGACAGTTCAGCCATCTTCACAGTGATGTTCTGTCCCAGTTCTCAACAGAACCTTTTCAGAGCCAAAAGTCTTCATCCAGGCTAAGCTAACAGAAAAATAAACGAGGGCCTGATGTCGTCCTTTTTCGGGTTATTTTCATCACAGAATAACGACCGTGTTATGGCAGGACTTTGTGGGCGGAGCTTAGATGGACCGCTTACCATGAGCCTTTAAACCGGACATCTTCAACAGAATTAGAAATGAAAGAAACCCGGTTTATGAACTCCGTGACCTCCGACCTGAGGGAGCCGATAGCTGTGAACTTTCACCATTTGTCATTCAGCTGATCGCACAGTTTTCAGCTTGTTGAAGCTAAAGTTCTGTTTTCTGTTTGGTCTTCGGTGTTTTCATGGATCCAAACCCCAGAACCAGAACAAGACTGAGACACAAAGATCAGACTAACCTGTTAGACTCTGGGCCGTCTTTGAGTTTAGGAGCCTGTTTCTGTGGACTGAGGTCAGAGGTCAGAGGACTGAAAGAACTGCTGATCCAGAACCCGATCAACAGGAAGTCTGGATCACATGAAGGACTATAAAAAGATGGATGAAAACTTTTGCACAGAGGAGTAACTTTAAATCATTTCTGTTCCAGACTTTTTGTGATTGAGCAGTGATGGATCCTGTGTCTGTCACGAACCGTCGGGGTGGACAGCTGTCCAACATCAGCTGACTGTGCCGGACACACGAACACAACACTGATGCATTTACAGACACTCAGGAAATCCCACGTTCAGCAAACATGTTGGGGTTTGTACAAGAGCAGCTGTGCAGCATAAGTGTTCACTGCTTTGTTTTGATTTAAAGTGTGTGTGTGTGTGTGTGTGTGTGTGTGTGTGTGTGTGTGTGTGTGTGTGTGTGTGTGTGTGTGTGTGTGTGTGTGTGTGTGTGTGTGTCACAAACTAAACTTTATATTCATGCAGAGAAACACACACGATGCAGCTCCACTTCCGCTTGGATTAAGTGTTAAACTCAGGGTGGTCCTGGTCTGAGGGTGGTGATCCTGCTGCTGCGAACACACACACACACACACACACACACACACACACACACACACACTGTTTGCTTACAGAACGTTGAAAGGTTTTTTTGTGTCGTTCATGACGCTCCGGCCTGCAGGATGTTTCTCAGTTTGTCAAGATTTCCGGTTAAAGAGACAAATATTTGTTTCTGTGAGTATCCGAGAAGAACCTCGACACCTGAGAGGGTCCAAAATAATCTGGTTGGGTTTTGAAGAACTGGACAAAACCAGAACAGGGTGCGTGTTTAATAAAGTTTAAAACGTTTCAATAAAGTTGATTGTGCATCACAGAAACACAGAACAGTTTCAAATGTTAAAATAATTCAAGTAAATAAATACATTTAGGTGATTTGTTTCCAAAATGTCTAAAAACGGTCGTGTTGTTTGAGCGCAGGAGCCAGGGTGCAAACAGATACGAGGAGTTAGAACTAAAAAAATCTTATTAAACGAACAAAACAAAAGCTGATGTGGCATTAACTAGAAAAATCCTGGAGAAACTGACGGGGACTGCCATGTTGCTGCCATTTTTTATTTTTTTTTATAGTTTGTGATGAGCATTGCTCTCAGCTACAACCACACCAAATTTCAGCTTAATATCTCTAAAAATGGCTGATTTATAGTATTTTTTCTTTTTAGTTCAGGTGGCCATCTTGGATTTTTGATTTGCAATCAGTCTCTTAGGAATTGTTTTCAGCTACCAATACACCAACTTTCAGCTAAATAGCCGTAAAACCCTCTGAGTCATTTGAAATTAGCTTCGGTGGCCATCTTGCTTTTTTTTAATTTGAATTCAGAATGGGTTGTGCATTGCTGTCAGGTACCACCGCACCAAACTTCAGCTCAGTATCTTAAAATAGCTGAGTTATTGTATTTTTATCTCTTTGTTAAGGTGGCCATTTTGGATGTTCAATTAGGAATATAAAACAACTCTCTCGCTCTCTCTCAGCTACGACTGTACCAAATTCCAGCTCAATATCTCAAAGAATGACTGAGTTATAGTCAATTTTGAGTTTTCTGAGTTACCTGTGCAGCCATCTTGAACCAAAATGGCTCCAAAAGTTGATCAGTGTTTTGTTCAGAGACCTCCCCCCTCTAGGTCATGTGACCTCACTCTGGTAGTTGGAGGCTGTGAAGAGCTCTGTTAATGTTTCTCAATGAGAAAAATGGCGTCTTTTATGTCGCCATTTTAATTTTTTTAATTTAGTCTCATTGAGTCATGAGAACTCATTTTCAAGAGAGACCCGTTTTGGGGAGCAAATGGTGGGGCTTTGGGGCCTCGCTCATGGGCACAGGGTGGGGCAGGTGAGGGTGTTTCACATTTTCCGCCCACATTTTGACGTTGATGGTACCGGGAGTTGAACCTGCGACTATCTGATCACAGGCCCATCTTCTCTAGCTTCTGCGCCACCGCTCCCCCAATGGTGACTTGGCCATGGTAACTTGAAACACCAATAAAAGCAAAGCACACATCACGGCGTCGAGCCGATCGTTTTGATGTAAAAGTTGTTGGGGGGGGGGGGGGGGCACATTGTGGTTCGGGTCACATTAAAGTTGATCAACTTTTCAGGTGGATAATAATAGGGTGCTGCCTTCAGGGCTGCAACAAGTTAAGAAACCAGAACCACAGAAATCCTCCAAAAATAACTCACGACACGAATCGTAACAAATATGAGATCAGTTTCAAGTTTACTGTAACTCCTTTGGTGGAAACTCATGGAGTAAAACAAATTCATAACTTTGATTTATTTTCTCCTCGGCGGGTTTTAAAATATTTGACTCGTGCTCCAACATCGTTTTGTTCCCTTAAATATCAGAAAACTCAAAGCTGCGTTTAATCAGCGGCGAGGATGTTTTATTTAGTTTCTCTGGGATAAATAATGACACGTTGTAATAAATCATGTGCTGTTGTGCATCTGAGGTCGTTTTTACCTTCTTTTTGGATCCTTTGCTCACAATGCTCAAACTTTTTATTATTATTTTGTTTTTACAGAAAAGGGAGGATGCTCGGACTCCGTCTAAAGCAGAGCAGACATGAAATCAGTCGTTCAGGCTGTAAAAGAAATCATAGAAAATCTGGATGTGTTGATGCTGTTGAAGATGAAGGACGTCTGGTTTCTGTCAAAAACTCGTTCACAAAAGATGTTTCCGTCTGACCTGAAGGCTGAAAGCAAACTTAATACGATGGGCGTTCGTCCAAACTTCACTTTTAGAATTATTTCCAAAAGTTTAAAACTTTCAT